CCACAGCGATGTATACAGTATATAGAAACCAAACTTCTATCTCGAGCACTTAAATTCTGCCCTAAACCGAGGCTGACTCGATCCACAACAACTATCTCTTTTGCGACGGAAACGCCACAGTGGGAAAACCACAGATTCAAACCAAAAAAATTTCATTGAATCCATCTTAGTATCGTTTCCCAGCTTTAATAAAAACGTTCATTCAGGCCATTGAAGAAGGACGTGATGAAAGCCCGTTTCTAGTCAAGTTTTCCGCGACAATCTATAAAAAAGATGAGAGGCAGACCATTGCCAATTTGCGTTAGCGTGATCATGGCGTCGATCCGTGGTTGAAAGTGGGGTGGGGGCGGCGAAATGCAAAATAGGAAAGCCTTTGGTTGGGGCCAGGGGGTTGCCTAGAGCCCCGGTGGGGGTCCAGGGGCGAAGCCCCCTGAAGCTCTGGCGTCTATAGCCTTTTATAAATCGTATCTAATTGATTTTAAGGAATGCAATTAACATTTATTTCAACGCTACATTATCAAAATACAGTGACGGATCCCGGAATTCGAAATGCAGGATGCCCAGGGAGGAACTTTTACAATGGAGTGTAAACCACCTCAGCCCCACCATGGGTTGGGGCTGATGTAAGAAAACTTATGATTATGGCACCTCTAGTTGGCCGGAAATGGCACTCCCAGACTTAAATTTGGATATAATTTTTTTTCTCCATTTTAAAATTTTGGGGAAAAAAATATGGAGGGTGGGCTGGATGGCTCCTTTGAATCAGCCACTGAAATACTTATTATAACAAGTTTTTAAATTTCTCCTGGTAATAATAATTATGCCCGCTTATATATTTCGTACAAATTAAGATTCACAAAAATAATTATTTTTTTTATCTACTGATTAGCTTGTGACGTATTCGAACCACGAAAAACAACAAGATAAACTTAAAAGAGTCACTCTAATTTTAGCCTCTTACATGTACAGTACTTTTAAAATCAATCAAGTGTTTTCCTCTTTTCCTTTTTTGCATTTCACTTTTGTACAAGTAATATTGCGACTACACTATTGTGAGTGAAAATAACTGTCTAGAAAGATAGGAAGCACACAAAATATTAGTTAGCATTTTTGTTTATTCACAAACATAAAGGGAGATTTACTTGATTTATCCTTATCATGACGTCATGGTGAGATTGCGTCAACGTTACATCAGAGTTCTAACGTGCGGTATCACTACTTAAATAAATTTCAAATAGACAGACCTATCCTTGTCAAAGGCTGTATAATTATTGTTTAATAACGGCTATATAAAATTTAAGTGACTAAGTATGATTTTTTTAAGTTAGGAAAAACATGAATTTATGTATGCAGATAATATTAACACTAATATACGGGAATAATATACAAAATGAATAAATCGTTTATAGTATAAATTGTGCACTTTTGTTAAAAAGCTGGCTTAACAGGTTTACACGATTCCAATTTTAATAACGTACAGTCAGTGGCGGTGCTAGCGGCTAATGACCTCCCCCCCCCCCCCCACCCCGTCGACGTCGGGGAAAAAAACCACAATTCGTCGGGGAGAAAAAAATAGACTCTACAATCAACCTAATAAGCCTTTGAAATCCCTAAATTGTATTTTAACAGATCGAGGGTTTATATAATCATAAATTGCAATATGATTATGGCACCTCTAGATGGCCGGAAATGGCACTCAAACTTTGAGTATAATTTTTCTGTTTTTATCAATATGGTTATGGCCCATGGTTACTTCCAATGGCCTTAATCACCTTCGGTGCAAAGTCATCAAATCCGGGCGCTTTATTTGAATCAAGAGATTCCATAACATTAATTACCTCTTCCTTGTTGACAGGACATTTACACAGCGAGTTTCGTTGCTTGTTGTTGGAGAGATATTCAGAATATTGAGTCGTCGAGACTCTCTCTCTCTCTCAATAAGAAGAAACAGTATTCTGAAATTCAATATTTTGACTGTCTCTTATACACATCTAGATGTGTATAAGAGACAGTATATATATATATATATATATATATATATTTATTTATTTATTTATTTATTTATTTATTCGGTATAAAATACTTAGAAACAACAAAATAATGATAATATATCGAAAAGCAAATATAGTGCCGAAAATATATTTAAATATTAAATATAATATTGTATAAATATTCAAAGATTTTCAGAACATTAACAGCATTCAGATCACTTTATTCTTTCATGAATTTGTATATTTATGCAATTGATAGGCCTATACGCCTATACGCCTTATAAATTTAAGTGCATTTTACGACTCACGGATCGTTTTTAAGTCACTATGGAAATATTATTACACTTTATTCAATTAATCAAATTTATTTAAAAATATGAAAACGAATATAGTACAGGAAATATATTAAAATGTAAAAAAGATTTTGAGAAAATTAACTGCATTAAACTCTATGCTGCATTCTATTCATGAATTTATATTTATGCGATGGTTATAGGCCTATTTATATTAATGCGCAATTTACGACCCACGGGTCGTTTTTAAGTCACTATATACATAACATTATACTTTATTGTTTAATTAATTAAAATGGTTTTACTTATTTTTAAAAAGTACAATATAGATTTACATTATTGAGTGTGGGTTGATAAATAAATCGTTAGTTGTTATTTACAGTTTCACTAAGATATTCTGGTTTAATGCCATTTTTTATGGACCAATTTTTAAGATTTGTTATGTTATAAAATAGTTCACAAAATGAATGAAAAGGACTCTCTACAACCGATTTACAGCACAGTGGCTGGTCTGGAAAATGAAAGCCTGAACAACAACAAAACAATAGATACCGCAATTAAATATAATACCAGGCTTGTACAACTACAGTAGCCTACGACAGTGTACACACTTTACTTACATATATATAGGGCCTATGTACATTATCCAAACTTAGAAGAAACAGTATTCTGAAATTCAATATTTTGAAAGATGTTTTTGTTGACGACGTGCCAACGATATACAGTATTTCACATGCGAGCTTGCTTAACCGTAATTTGGATACTATCAGACAGGTGCACAATCAACCAGGTCTGAAAGAAAACTTCTGCCAAGAACTGGAATGTCCTACCATGGCTACTAACCTAGAAATTATTAGTTTAACACCCACCTCTAATTAAGGAATTGGTCTAGCCATTGTGGACGAAACCCTCACCACCTGCCCCTCTCCCAGCCCCCACTCGGGCACAGCGCCATAGACTTTACGATGAAGATCGAGTTTTCCCGAGGGGGGATGCACACGTATCGAAGCCTTGGAAAACTCGAGATCTGCCAGGAAATTTCACCCTGAAACTATAAAAGTTGTGTTCGCTATGAAATTTTCGACAAGAAGTTCAGGATCCCTACTTTCAAAAATTTACTTACTTCAGGGGTTTAAATTGTGGTTGCAAGTAATCAGGGTCGGTTTTACTTGACCAGTATGCTATTGTGTGGCGATGACAGTTTGTTTGATCCAACTCTAAATAGTCAATTGTTATTTTATTGTTATACCGCTAAACATTTTTAAAAATAGCTAAATTAAGAATTTAAAAAAAAAAGTAAAATGCAATACAAAACACGTATATGGTGAATATTTATTTAGATATAACATTCGAATGACATTGTAGTGGAAACATTGTCAATAAATTTATATAAGGTTGTAGGTAACAGCATATATTTTTAAATCAACAAATATGAGAAAAGGTGGTTCGACAAAAGTCAGTGCGGCCTGTGCGGTTTGGCTAGCCCTGAACAATTAGATAAATACACAATATAAAGAAATAGATAAATATATACATAGCAAACT